TCTTTTCCAATGGTATTTGTGCGAAAATTGAATGCAACAGACTAGTCTGGAATTTGAACCCGGCCCAGCGACTCAGCTTTTCGTGTCGATAACCCTTAGGCTAAATCCGAATATCCCGAGTTAGTCATGGCGTTTCTCGAAGCCAAGTCAGTGTCCATCTCTTTTTTCAAAGGGCAATAGTGAAATGTGCGAATATCTCCACTTTTGTGTCGTCGATCTTCTAGACCAGTAATTCCAAAATATTTGTGTTTTTCTTAATTTCTGCTACTGCAAAAATATGGAATGGCGCAGGGGATAGAATATTGTTGCTATATTTGGGGTCTGGTGCTCCTGCATTTCGTTTCGAGGTTCTTGACAAAATCCAAAGAAGGATCTGCAAAGTAATCGATCCTGACTTTGCATCTCGACTTTCAGTCCCTTTCTCATCGACATGACGCGGTTTCCCTCTGTCTTTTCTACAAATATTTTCATGGTAACGACTCTGATGAGATTTTTTTCTTTGGTGCCCTGACTACATGATTTAAAGCGTGCTACTAGATTGGCATTTAGGTCCCACCCGTGTACTGTTGAAATAGCTAAATGTAACCGCCATTTCAACTGCAGCAGTTTCATTTCTCAAACTTCCCGTCTGTGGAACCAACTTCCGTTTACTTGTCTTCCCAGATAAATAAAATCTTCAAAAAACTTAACTGCAACGTTAATCGCCATCTTGTATCTTCTTGAATCCAGTTCATCTCTTGTCTTTTCCTCAATCCCTCACCCCTATACTCTGTCTTTTCTCTTACTTTCACTCTGTGTAGCACCCTGCGTAATAGTAACATTCCCGCCTTGCAATTAAAAAAAACCGATATATTTCCGCGCAGCATCAATTGAGTTATAATTTACTTAATCGAAATGTGTTGCCTTTAAATTAATAATTTGGGAAATGTATGAAGTCACTATAAGTCAATCCATAATGCAAATCAGTACAGCTTGTTCCAATTTTATTTTTTATAGAAGAGATGAGAACAATCAAGCAACCTGGATTATCACAATGATCTATTCATGTCGAATTTTTGAATTCAAAACAAGTTTTCACAGAAGCCAATTTATTTGATTTGTATCTGTGGATTGTAATTATTTCACGTACCTGACCCTTGATTTTTGAATCAGAATCGATTAATTTATATGCTGCATGTACAGGTCATCTCGGGTTTTAAGTGTGACAAAAATATGCTTTTAGATGCAAATAAGTAAACGTTTGCTCTTGTGTTGGAATTTCCATGATTTCCTGGCCTTGTGCAGACCCAAGGGAAGTTGAGTAAACAATAGCCTGACTCGTGACTGAAATAGTTATAATTTCAGATGTTACCATAGGTGAATATTCGAACATTGCTAACAGGCAAGGTTTCGAATGCTAGTATTCAACACAGACATCGTGCTAATATTACAGAAATAACTTTTTATGATAAATTAGTTCATCGTTAATTTGGCCACTCTCTGACTTCCATCATTATGGCTGATGCTAACTCCAGAAAAGTAACGCGTTGCGCCTTCTTGGGCTCACGGTCTCAGCTGACATGGAAAGACTATATAGAATCCATTGCTAGTTCAGCTGCTAAGAAAGTTGGTTTACGGTGTCTTACAAGACAATTTATCTCTCCAGAATCTATCTTACATATCTTTAAGTCTACCATTCGTCCATGCTTAAAATATTGTTACTACATACGGTCCGGTGTTCTTGCTTCTCCTCCTATCTATATAAACTACCCTTGACGTAACCCTCTACCTCGAGTACTCCCAGGCTTTGTACAAAGTGAACCTTACTGTAAAAAAAAAAAAAAAAAAAAAAAAGAGTCTGTTAGAATTTATCAATGCTGAATAATTTCTTTTTACAGTGATGTTCCCCTTATACAAAGCCGGAGGTTCATTCGAGGCAGAGGGCTACAGAGTAAGGGACATAGTTTATGCGGATAGGTGGGGAAGATAACCCTATATTGTAATGATCGGGAAAACAACCTCTTAGGAGTCTGTTCCACAGATCAGTGGTTCGCGGCAAGAAGCTGCTTGAGTGGAACAAACTTTTCCTCAATGGAATACGAAGGTAATGAGGGTGGTTCGCTACAATGTACGTGGAATGGTGGGTCCTAGCCGTAAAGGTTAAAACTGGTAGAACTAAGGAGTATAGTTCGTCTGAGCACTATCTATCGTTACAGTAATGAGAGGTTCGCTATATCTCGTCTGTGGGAAAGGGGTAGTTAATGCCCAAATATGACAGCAGTACTCCATTTTCGACCTGATCTAGCTCTCCTAAAGGTATAGGATAGTATGAGGAGCCAGGTACCTGCTGACGCGGTACAGTGAGGCAGTCTTTAGACGCGATCTTAAGTGGGGATTAGATTAAATACGCATTTCTCTATAGAAGACTGTTCCATAAAATGACACTCAATTAAAATGTTTTTTTATCGTGTATTAGCGAAATGTTGAGGACTTAATCAGTTCATATCTATTGTTGTTCAGGATGAAGGATTTTCATGTGACCGTATTTTGATGCCCTTCCCTAAATCCCTACCCCCAACCAGCGCGTATCTAATGCCATTTTGTATGTTTGATTTGGTGTCGGCGTTTCTCTAGTAAAGACTTTTATCTTTTCATGGGAGAAAAATAATCCAATTCAACGGTTCAAGTCCTTATACTTGAAGGTTGTCTGCCGTTAACGAGCTAGTCCTACCCGTGCAGTAATGTGTTCAGAGGCTCCCTCCCTCGATTGTTACCTTGCTTCAGACCAAGCTAAACAATTATCTACTCAATTCATTTCCGTGGTTCATAAGCTTAGCACAGTACAAAATTATAACTATTCCCGTGGGTGGGGGTGGGGGTGGGTCAACTTGTTTGAAAAATCAGCACTCGAAATAGTTTCCACCCCCTGACATCAATTGAAAAGGGATCAGCCACAAAACAAACCACAAAATTTCAAAATGCATTCTTTCGCTAATCAAATGGCTGTTTTTAATATGAATGTTGCTCGTAATATAACGGGCTTTTAATATGGCGTATATGCCGTATATACACGAGAATAGTGCTAGTTTTATGAACAGGTTTTAATATCTGTCTATATCACTGAGATGAGGTATTATGATTATTTGCATTATTTACATTATTCGGACTGTTATCCTCATATTCACAACGTTTCGACCGTTGTGCACTCCGGCCTTCTTTAGGTGATTGGAATTTCGTTGGCCCGTGGAACTAGAAAAATCTATCCCGGTGGGCGAAATGAAGGGTTTGTTTCGAAATTCCAATCAGCTGAAGAAGACCGGAGCGCACAATGGCCGAATCGTTGTGAATATGGCAATGATGATGAGGATAAGATCCCGAATAATGTAAATAATGCAAGTGATCAGGCTTTATGCAAAAAAATAGGGGTCGTAGGTAGTTTTTTTTTTTTTTTTTTTTTGAAGAGGTTAGAAGTCATGCATTTTTGGTGACCAGTTGAACTACACAAAGATAATCCTTTTTTCCAAGTGCTAAAATTCATGCCCCCAAATCCCTGGGGTTGCACTATACAGGAGGGTCGGCTTATACACTAGTATATACGGTACTCTCGTCATTGATAGGCAATATCAGTTTTCACCGTTTTGATTATCCATACTTCAGCTGTTCCATGAAATACTCGTTCATTTAAGCGGAATTCGTTATGAATGGGTAAAGAACCCCGACTTAATATCCACTTGATCTTTGAATTATCATGATATGTTACAAGTAAAAAGTTCATTTTTTTAAAATCCAGTTAAATCAATTAATCTTCCGAGTATTATATTTCTATAACGACTACTTAATTTTTACAACATTTTTATTGTTTTTGTCGGTATTTATTGCATTATAAAAAAGTTTTAAAGTGGTTTTAAGTTCAAATTATACTATTAGAAAGTCTGACCCATTGGATGGTTATTTTTTTTGTTTTGTTTAGCGGCATATCAATTTCTATATGAGTTATTTAATACCGAAATCTAAATAGTTTGCACGCTATTTTATTTTAGTTTTTGGAGGTAATAATGGTTTTAGTTATCTAAATCCTACTAATTAATCCATATCTTGGGGGAGTAGAGGTGAATTTATACCTTTCCCAATGGTATTTGCGCGTAATTGAATATAACAAACCCAACTGTAATTGGAACGCTACTCTCCGATTAACAATTCCGAGCCATTATCCATTACACCACCCGCACATCCAAGCTTACAGCACTTGGTATTCTCAAGTAGAACAGGCTCGACGTTGCTTAACTTCAGTCATCGTACGGGAACCGCTGTTTCAATGTGATGTATAGAGCTAGAAAGAACAGGTGGCTGTGGAGAGCTATGATCCTCCACATCTTGATGGGACATGGCACATAAAAGAGACTTTGGCCATCCTCAGATGTCCGTTACTTTGGCTAATATGAGATATCATGTGTGTTATTTTTATCCATTTGATGTCGTTTCTTATTCTTTCTGTTGAACCAGAGTATATTATTTTCGCTATCTGATCCAGGGATTGAACTGACGATCATTAGATGGCAATAACGATTAACCAACACTTAGCTCCATAATTCTGAAGGACACCGGATAAGAATAATAGTTTATATCGTTCACCGTATAGATTTTGAAAGCCATGATGCTACACAGTCTGGAAGACCTTCATCAGTGACAACTCCTAAAATTGTTGGTCAAGTTAATATTCTAATTTTGGACAATCGACAAATCTTGGTCAGGGTAAAACGTTGATTGGTTGGTTGATTCTTTTTACGGATTATCAACCCATTGCAGGTTATTTAAAGCCAGAATATATTTTTAGGTTCTAAGAATGTTCTTTTTGGAGGGGGGTAATAATAGTTTAGTGAAAGAAATCATACTAATTAATCCATAGCTAAGGGGGGAGGTGGATTGATATTTTCGGGTAAGTGGATTTAACGAAGCCAACTGGAAATGGAACTCGGTTCTTCGATTTTCAAACCCGAGCCTTTCTACATTACACCTCTCGCACATCACCTGGTAGTCTCAAGCAGTCTCCCATCTAGTTACTGACCAGGCTCGACGTTGCTTAACTTTAATGATTGTACGGGAACCGGTGTTTTAACGTGATGTAGCCGAAAGCTTCTCCCCCCCCCGGAAAGCGTTGAGTTTGTAATTTACGAAGAATAGTTGGATATGAAGAAGTTGTCAGGTAAATGGATGCCAAAATGTTTGATGTTCAGATCAGAAACTATATTGAATTGATTTTCTAGAATTTTCAACGATTTACTGATCATTTCTTTTGGAACAACTTGTCCCTGTTAACGGTGGATGTTTTGAAGAATTTTGGTTTTGAGTGCATAGAACTTCCGCCCTATTCACCGCATCTTGTTCCTATATCCAAACCTTAAAAGCAGTCCGAAAAGGGAGACCATTTTGAAATGATTTGGCGGTGATAGCTACAACATGACAGTAAACCAATGACAAATCAAATGTTTTGAAGGTTAAAAGAAAGCGATATGATAAATATTTTGAACTGTGCAGAGAATATGTGGAATGCAACAATAATTTAAAATAATGGAATATTTCTGTTTTCTTTTTGGTTAATAACTTTCTTGATTCTTGCTCGAATTTGTTTAAAACGGGAGAAGTTTACTCATAACAGTATATCAATTCGATATATGCAAATAATCTGTCATTTCCAGATTGGAGCTTCTGATTAGCGCGAAGCTACCTCTTAATTGTTGTGGTCCCCAGGGTCCACTCTGATCCGGGCTGGTAGTTAGGGTTAGGGTCCCAGCTATGGGCAAATAGTGAACACCCAACCAAAAATGAAACACTATGAAAGTATAAAAGACATTTTTTAAATTAAAAATACTAGCAATAAATTTTTATCTAAATTACCAACAATCTGCGCAGACTAACAATTTGTAGTGACTTGAGTCAAATTCGTTTAAAATACTACCAAACAACCAACATAAAAGAACATTCCTGACATTAAACCATATAATATCCTACAAGTTCTTCAATCAAACTGTATTCTAAAATATAACTTCAACAAAACCGCAGGATAAAACACACATTACCGTCTCTCATAATCCTGTCCACACAAATATAGATATGCACAAAAGCTGAGTATCATCTACCATGTACTCAATTGTGAGAGCATAATAACATATCTTTATTACTTCAAAGCCCCAAGAAAATTAAATTTCATCATTAAATAACCCATAAGGAGTTGATATGACGTTAAATAGGCAAATCAACCAATCTTCCTAACAATTGGAAATTATTTCATCATTGATATACAGGGTCGTTTCATGAGGATTTTCAGTATCAAAGGATTGATATAAAAACAGCGGAATCTTCGGTATTCAGCATATTTTGCCCACTGGGCACTTCGACGTGGTGTAATTGTTCAATTACTAGATTAACTGAGTTCGATTCCCCATACTTCCGGCCTTGTACCACATCTACGTTATGCTTAGTAAATTACTATCGTTGTCTAGTATCATAAATAGAAAGAGTTAAGGATATATCAGAGACACAATTTATGCGTTGTGGGGTGCTGGCAAGATTCAAAAACCGATACTCTCAGCCTCTGTCCCTTTTGCCTTCAATCTGTCCTGTGAGTATCAGATTTTCCAATCCTTCTTTCCTCGTTATGTGCCCTAGAAATTTCAACTGTCTCTTCCTGATATAAGTTTCCTTTTTGTTTACATTTTCTCTTGAACTTCCGCGTTCCTCACATGTTCAGTCCATGGTATCCTCAGCATCCTTCTGTAGAATCATATTTCTGCTGCCTCAACTGTTTTCTTCATCTGTGAGGAGATTGTAAAGCATTCACTGCCATACAGAGGGACTGATACGACAGTACCCCCTCATTGTACTCGAGAAGGGGAATCGGAGGTAATATCGATGCCAGCGCAAACGACGGCGGGGTGGGAAGCAATTTTGGGCCCTGGCCCGGCCGTACGCGCTTGCGTACTTCACATTAAACCCGACCTTGTGTCACATCACGTCGCTGTGGGGAGATGGGTAATTACCTACAGGAGGACTTATATGGAGGACTGGTTTACTAACATTTAATCAGAAAACGGGAGTGTTTAATCTGCGGCCGAAGACCATCAAAGTTGGCCTGCTGTTCTATGGAAACGGGTTATTTTCAGTGATGAATCAAAATTCTGTATATTGTTCGGTGATCATGGCTCTTGCGTCTGGAAGCACGAGAGATGCGATACCAAATGCGTGAAAACGTGTAAATTTCTCTCAATCTGTGATGGTTTGGTGTTGCATGTCTATTACAGGTGTTGGAATGATCTATTACTTGAAAAGGTCGGTTAATATTGCAGTCTATCAGGATGTCTTAAATAATTTGCTCATATCATACATTAAGAAGTTTAGAGTACAAGAATCATAAATCGTTTACTGATGGCAGTTAATGTAACGGGATGGTCTAGTATGATTCAGGTTTTAATAACAAATCCGACTCCTTGGATTCTTCTGTCCCATTTATCTTTGCCTTTCCAAAAGAATATATAACCAGAACCAGTTTCTTTGAGTCTTCCTTCTGAAAATCGTGTTTCATCTCAGATTTGTGATGTTCACATTGTATTTAGCGAATTCTTTTGAGACTAGAGCTGTGCATCTTTCTGGTCTGTCAGTGTTTTCAATCTCGAGAAGAGGCCTAACATTCCATGATTCAAAGATCATATTGGTCTTAAGTTACTTGTTGTTTCGGTCGCATGATGGGTGCGGTTTCCAGCTGATAGTAACTTCCGATGTATAGTCCACATTTTCTAGGACGTACGTCGATTCAAAATACGTCCTCGTCCATAAAAAAATAAATTATCGGCAAAAGTTGTTTAAAATGCTTGAATGATAAACTACGATTAATAAAAATTGAATATTTCGTTTTTTGCCCTTCTTTATTTTTTACTGGTTCTCGTACGATCATCGAAGTTAAGCAACACTGAGCCTGGCCACTACCTAGATAGGTAATCGCTTGGGAATATCAGTCGCTCTAAGCTTGGGTGTACTGCTGTTGTAATAGATAACGTCTCGGAACTGGAAATCGGAGAGCCGAGTTCTAATTCCTGTTGGGTTCCTTATAGTTACTTACGCGCAAGTACCATTTGAGAAAGGCATGAATCCACCCATTTTCCCTCAGCTATGGATTAATAAGTAAGACTTATATCAGTAAATATTTTTTGCTTGTAAGAATTTTTGAAGATATCTCCAAAAGTTCTTAAATTCTGAAAATATTTTCTGGCTTTGAATAACATGGAAAAGGTTGGTAAGCCGTAAAAAACAAATCAACTTTCTTTTTTTTTACCAGACAGAAAACGTTTAAACACTCGTATTTTCCAGAAAGAAACACAAAATCACAGGAAAAAACACACGCACACACACAAAAACAAAAAACAAAAATGAAAAACCCAGAGAAAGCACAAAAATAAATACAAATAAAAAGCAGAATGTAAATGTTAAAAGAGAAAGTGGCTTAAACAAAAAGAAGACAATAGAAAAACGACAAAAAAAAAAAAAAATACCACAGTGTAAACAAGAAAAAGATACGAAGTTGTATCCTGATTATTTATAACTCCCTATCGGCCCCGAAATGATGTTTACAAGAATGTTTTCTGCTTGTGATTGGTTAGAAAAGATGGCTGGCGAAATTCAATTTCTTCGAAACCACGATCCTATTTTTGCGTAGTATTTATACGCGCGAACTAAAGATAGCGTAATATAATTCGTTTCAAAATATGCATCAGTTGTTGTACAAACCTTTCGCTGCTTTATAGGGGGTGAGTCAAGAGAGAAAGAGAGATAAAGACGGGGTGGGGAAGAGAGTGAGGCGAAGTTATATACCTAGAAGTTATACACTAAGTTTTTCTTAACCCTGCACAAGACTACAATAGACAAGCATCCAGTGAGGAACGAAATCACTACTCGAGCAAATGGACCTGCGGTATATATTTGCTTATCACTACTACTTCAGGCGCGTTAATTTATAGTGATTTACTAAGCATATCTTACATGTGGTACAAGGACGAAAATATGGAGCATCAAGTGAGAATAGAACTTCATAAAATTAATCTACCGAGACAATCTTGTTAACATCACAACAAATTGCTCTATCTAGTGATTTACTAAGCGTACCTTAGCTGTGGCACAAGGCCGAAAGTGTGGAGTACCCAGTGAGGACTGAACTCACTATTCAGTCAAGACAAGCTTGTTAACCATTACACTAAGTTGAAGTGCCCGTAGGCGCGTTAGTATATATCATAATTTAGTGCGACAAAAGTATATATGTATATAGAGAGTAGCTACAGAAAAAGTTACCAAGATTTATACGTGTGTTCGAGTATTACTTGAGGCAATTATATATTCATTTAGAATTATTTTGCATTAGCAAGGATGCCCTGCGTTACGAGTGTGAAGTGTCTCTCCATTGTCTTACTGTGCTACACGGTCGTTTCTTTCTTTGAGTGATTTTCTATTGAACAGTTTGAGAGGTTTAAACATTCTGCTTGTCGTCTATTTTATATATTGTTTGTTATAATATTAATTATATATATATATATATATATATATATATATACATCAACAGTTTGTTTGTTTTATGCTTGAATGCAATGGCTGATGTGTGAGACTGTGGCTTTAAACTGGTCGATCACCCTCCCTAATTCTTCTGATTTGACTCCATCGGACTATCATCTGTTCTCCAACATGAAAAAAAAATACTTGACTCGGAATCAGTATCGCAGTCACTCTTTGAACCCAAAGGATGAAACCTTCTTTCACCAAAGCATCATCGATCAAACACGTGGATGGGCAGCAAGGGGTTGAATATTAAAATGTTAAAAAATAAACTTCAATTGGTCACATCAATGAGAGTATCTTGGTCAGCTTATGAACTTTTCAGACGACCATCATAAAGCAAGCAGGTTATATTTGCAGAATGAGTGAAAGAAACATTTTACGAAACGTAATTTTAATAGGAAGACTGAGGACTAATTCATTATAGAGTTTGTTTACGTTATCGTTCTTATATCAATGACAAATGTTCTCCTGTTACAAACGGATGTTTTATCAGAACTACTTGCTATTCGAGTAAATGTTACCTTAATCGCGT